GGAGCGATCTCCGCCCCGCCCTCGGCGCCCCGCCCTCGGACTGGGCGCAGCGCGGCGGCGTGGGAGTCACGTCAAGGCGCATGCGCTCTCTGGGCTCTCCCAACAACCGGAAAGTTACCAGCCGGGCGTTCTGGTTCCCTTAGAGACGGAATCCGACTTGGCCCGCGGGGGAGAAACCGCCGAGGCCGCCCGGCCCTTGGAGAAGCCAAGATGCCGTTGAAGAGCAAGGACAAAGGGAAAGGCAAGAGCAAAGACAAAGACAAGAAGAAGTAAGAGAACCCACCTTGGGGTCCTTCTCCTCCCGGGCCTCTCTCCCGGGATTCGGGCCTGGGGGCGGCCCGCCGCTGAGGTTGGCTAACTGACGCTCTCCCGCCTCCCCTTCCGGAGCCTCCTGGACTTTTCTCTCGCTCTCCTCGATTCTGAGGATAGTTCCCATTGTTCAGAAATTCCCCAAATGCATGCCCAACTTTACGGCTTCAACTTACACAGTAGGGTGAGATTTGGGACCCTGAAGTAATTTAGGCTCAGGCCCTACCTATGTGTAATGCATGAACGATGGAGGCAGATAAGTTCCCAGAGAATAGAAGTAACACAGGGCCGAATGAAATAGGTGCTAGTGGAGGAACAAAGAACTGAGAATGAGGAGGAAGAGTTCTGACACTAGAACTGAAGGTCTGGATAACATTTATTGGGATATTGGAGGTCCTCTAGTCTAGCGCTGTGCAGTAGGGGAGTCGCCAACCATGTGTGGCTAAATTAAAATTAAATAAAATTAAAAATTGAGATCCTCAATTACACTAGCCACATTCCATACGCTCAATAGGCACATTTGCTAGTGATAATTATATTGGACAGCCCAGATATAATAGAACATTTTCATCATTATAGAAATTTGTCTTGGACAGCAGTGCTCTAGAGGAGTAGTTCTTAACCCAGGGCGATTTTGCCTCCCAGGGGACATTTGGAAATAATCTGGAAACATTTTTGGTTGTCACATCTGGGAATGTGTAATGGCATCTAGTGAGTACAGACCAAGGATGCTGTTTAACATCCTGCAATGCGCAGGACAACCCCCTCACCCCCTACCCCAAAGAATCATTTAACTCAGAATGTCAGCAATGCCAGGGTTGGGAAACCCTGCTCAAGACTATATATAACTTTCTCTAGACTAGGCACTAAGCATTATTCACCATATCTCTAGCACCTAACAGAGATGCTGGCACATAGCAGATGCTTAATATTTGTTCAATAAACAAATTAAGGTGTCTGCCTGTGTATGCTTCAACTTAGATGCTTATTCCACAAGAAATGTGCTCTGGATTCTTTCTTGATCCTAGTCTGAGAGATCTCTACTATGTGGTTGAGATGATCTTGAACATCTAAAGGATCTCTGGATGATTGAAGTAGTTCCTTGGGCCTTTTAGGGATTCCTTGTGGTTCAAAGGAAAGCATAAAGGATTTGAACAAATTGGGTAGTTGTTCAGATTTCCCCAAACTGTTCAGAATTAACTATAGCACTAACCCTTTCCAGGCTTGGAGTTGCTGCTAGACTGCCACTAGCCTATTGGGTGACCCTGGTAGTTCCTAGACACATTGGAGTCCTACATGGTGTCCAGCAATACTATATATGGGACTGTAAGGGAATCCCCAAACATATAAAGTTTGTGAAGTAACTTGTTTAAGGGAGTAATAAATGTTCAGTACAGAAAGTTTAGGAAACATGGAAAGTCAAAGGAGAAAACAAGAATCACCTGTAATCCATCATCCAAAGATAACCACTACTATCATTTTAGGATATTCTTTTTATCTTTATAAAATGATAGTCCAATGTACATACTTATTTGTAGTTTTCCTCCATGTATTAATATAAGTATTCTTCTACAGTGTGATTTCTTTTACATAACTGCATAGTTAGTATAGCACTTCTAAAAAGTGACAAGGGTTTATCACATTCCTAGAACTCACTAGCTAGCATATGTTTTCTTTTGATTTTGTGTTTTCTATTTTTGACCATGCATCCACAGTATACATATCATATGTACCAGGCAATCCAAACAAAACAATAATAGAGAGATGTAATACTACTATAGTAGAGAATAGTTATATGCTGTCAATGTCTTCTTCCCATGTAGGAAGATAATAAAAGTTGATGAAATTACAGTGGAAAGAGCCAAGGCCAATGCCTCCCTTTGGGAGTCCAGGCTGGAACTCACAGAACTCTCTAGGATGGAGTATCGTGATACTTCCCTGAGACTGGCAAAAACAAATGCGGAATTAAAGAAACAGCAGTATAAAATGGAGAAAGACACAATGTCTGTATTAAGCTACCTGAAGAAGCAGGATCAGGAGAAAGATAATATGGTAGGTAGGTAGAAACCCTCCGGAGCCTCAGTAACTACCTCTGTGTTATACTTGTGTGGTTATATATTTCAAGGATTTAATTCCTTGAAATCTTATCACATAATTAAGACATTTCAGTTGACTTTAACTCTCTTTAAAGCAGGATGCTATTTCAGAATGGCTTTACTGTCATAACCAGATCTTTCTTATTTTCAGTTCTTGTGACATGTTTTCTTGTCTGAACAGATTGATGATCATAAGGGAACATTATGATCCATTTTGTTTTAAGGACAAGAGCATGTATGATCTATATATTTTTTTATATTGATAAATACTTAGTTTTAATGATTTGTAAAGCAATCACTGATAATCTATGATGACATGATGAACCCAGCAAGTTGAATCTTGAATTTCTTTTATTACACCTTATTTAAGTGTTGAAAGCTATTGTTTTAGATCTGGAAGAAAAAGGGATAGGAACCAACATTTTTGAGCCCCTATTTTATGCCAGGCATTATACTAAGTACTTTACCTCTTTTATCTCATTTAGTCCTTTTAATAACCCCATGTAGCTACAATATTGTCATTCCCATTTTACGGATGAAGAAATTGACTCTCAGAAGGACAACTTGCCCCAAATCACTCGGCTAGTGGGTGTTTAAAATGGAATTTAGGTGGAACTCCAAATTCTTCTCTTTTCCATCTGCCTCTATGAGTCCCATGGAAACCCAAGTAAATTTCCACTCTACTGTGTGCATCATTCCCATTGTTTGTGGATGCATAATACATAAACAATAAAAGTACAAAAAACGCCCAGCCTGCGTGGCTCAGCAGTTGAGCATCAACCTATGATCCAGGAGATCGAGGTTCGATTCCTGTCAGGGCACATGCCCAGGCTTTGGGCTCAATCCCCAGCAGGGGGCATGCAGGAGGCAGCCGATTAATGATTCTTTCTCATCACTGATGTTTCTCTCTCTCCCTCTCCCTTCCTCTCTCTGAAATCACTAAAAACATATATTTTTTTAAAAGTACAAAAACCTACATGGGAATGATGTAGAAACTTTTCCAGAGTAAAAGAGACTAAGATACATGACAACCAAATATAATGCATACTCAAGGGTTATATCCTGGACTGGAAAAAGAAAGGACATTAATGGGACAAGTGGTGATAAAATTTGAATATGGACTATAGATTATATCAATGTTAAATTTCCCAGTTTTGATAATTGTACTATACTTCATAAAAAGTATCTCCTTTTTCTTAGGAAATACATAATCATTTAGGGGTAAAGGATCATCATGTCTAACTTACTCTCACATGGTCCAGAAAAAACAATGTAAAAAAACTTATCATCTGTATATCTATACCTATATAAGTATATATTTAGATAGCTCTATCTATATATACATAGAGAGGGAACGTAAATGTGGCAGAATTGGGTGACCAGTGTATGAGAATTCTTTGTACTCTTCTTGAAACTTTTCTTCTAAAAAGTTACCCAGATATGTTATGCTAAGTGAAATAAGTCAGACAGAGAAAGATAAATACCATATGATTTCACTTACATGTGGGATCTGAAGAGCAAAATAAGCAAAATAGAAACAAACTCATAAATACAGAGAACAGACTGATGTTTGCCAGAGGAGAGGAATTTGGGGGACTGAATGAAAAGGGTGAAGGGATTAAGAAGTACAGATTGGTAGTCACAAAATGGTCCCAGGAATGTAAAGTACAGCATAGGGAATATAGTTAATAATATTGTCCAGTGCTAGGTGGTTATTTGAAATATCTAGGGGACCACTTTGTAAAGTATATGATTGTCTAACCACTATGCTATACACCTGAAACTAATACAAAATAATATTAGATGTCAAGTGTAATTGAAAAATGAAATTAAAAAAAAGAAAAAAAAGTTACCCAGATAAGAGAAATGCCTATCAAAACAACAATGAGTTATCACATCCTACCCATGGCTACTTTCAGAAAAACAGAAAATAACAAGTGTTGTCAAGGTTGCAGAAAAATTGGAACCCTCGTGCACTGTTTGTGGGAATGTACATTGGTGCAGTTACTATAGAAAGCAGTATGGAGGTTCCTCAAAAAATTAAAAATAGAATTCCAGATGAGCCTGGCTGGTGTAGTTCAGTGGTTGTCGACCCATGCACCAAGAGGTCATCGGTTCAATTCCTGGTCAGGGCACATGCCTGGGTTGTAGGTTCAATCCCCAGTAGGGGGTGTGCAGGAGGCAGCTGATTGATGTTTTTCTCTCATCGGTGTTTCTGTCTCTCTCTCCCTCTTACTTTCTCTCTCTCTAAAATCAATAAAACACATATTTTTTTAAAAAAAGAATTACCAGGTGACCCAGCAATCNCTCATCGGTGTTTCTGTCTCTCTTTCCCTCTTACTTTCTCTCTCTCTAAAATCAATAAAACACATATTTTTTTAAAAAAAGAATTACCAGGTGACCCAGCAATCTCACTCTTGGGTATATTTCCAAGAGAATTTAAAGCAGGATTTTGGAGACATACTTGCATACCCATGTTTGTTGAAACATTATTCATATAGCCAAGAGGTGGAAGCAACCCAAATGTCCATTGATGGGATAAATAAAGAAAAAAGGGTACATACATACAGTGGAATATTACTATACAGCCTTTAAAAAGAAGGAAATCCTGTGACATGCTACATACAACATGGATGAACCTCAAGGACATTATGCTCAGTGAAATAAGCCAGTCATGAAAGGATAAATATTGTGTGATTCCACTCATATCAAGTATCTAAAGTAGTCAAAATCCAGAAATAGAAAGTTGAAAGGTGGTTGCCAAGAGCTGCGGGTGAGGGAGGAGAAGGAATTAGTGTTTCATGAGTATAGAGTTTCAGTTTTGCAAAATGAAAAAGTTGTCTGATCTACAACAATGTGAATATAGTTAACACTTCCTGACTGTACATTTAAAAATGGTTAACATGGGCAATTTAATGTTGTGTTCTTTTTTTTTAACATGCTTTTATTGATGAAAAAGAGAGAAACATCGATTTGCTATTCCACTTATTTATGCATTCATTGGTTGATTTTGTATGTGTCCTTACAGGGGATCGAACCTGAAAGCTTGGCATATTGGGACAACGCTTAACCAACTGAGCTATCCAGCCAGGGCTAAATGTTGTGTTTTTTACCACCATTTTTAAAAAAAGTTACTCCGGTAATTCTGATGATAGCCAGGTTTTAGAAACTAACAATAGCAGGTTAAGGGTATGAACTATGTCCCCTCTTCTCCTCTTCCCACCTCACTCAACCTCTCCAAACCTACTGGTTTGAATACGTGAAAACAAGGCTACCTAATAAAGGCAGGACACAGCAATTTCTTTACCTTCCGAACTCTGTATTTTCATCTTCTACAGATTGAAAACCTGAAACAACAATTGAATGAAACAAAGGAAAAAGCCCAAGAGGAGAAGGAAAAATTGGTAAGTATCTGCGTAGATCAATACTTCACTTACTGGGTGGTCGGATTTCTGGCAAGGTCATATTTAAGATGTAATGAGCAGGCCTGGCTGGGAGTGGCTCAGCGGTTGAGCATCAACCTAGGATCCAGGAGATCACAGTTCAATTCCCGGTCAGGCCACATGCCCAGGTTGTGGGCTCAATCCCCAGTTAGGGGTGTGCAGGAGGCAGCCAATCAATGACTCTCTCACCACTGATGTTTCTCTCTCTCTCTCCCTCTCCCTTCTTCTCTCTGAAATCAATAAAGATATATATTTAAAAAAAAAAAAAAAGATGTAATGAGCATAAATAAGTCAGTCCTCTGAGCAGCTCATCGACCTTAAAGCTCACACACCTGTTATACAGAAGCTCAAAAAATAACACAAAAATATGTTATTGTAGAAAACCATCTGGTATTAGAAAACCGTCTGCTTACTGATCTTGAGTTTGACATTCTTTCTCGGGCTTTTCAGTGGACCAAATTAGGAAATATATATATATTTTTTTAAGATTAAAATATATCATGAAATATAAGCCCATACTAATATTTTCTATTGAGATGCAGGATTAAAGGGTTTTTACTTAACATTATCTGTGTGTCCTTCCTCCCTCACCCAAAATCCTGGTTCTTAATGATACCAGTATAATTGTGTAGTTGCTTTAAACCTCAATACATCAACAGTCACAGAATACTAATACCAGTAATACAACCAACATAGATTAGTGGACACAGTTTAAGATCTTCTGGAGCCCTTTACCGCTTCGGATATATACCAGTAGGGATTTACTATCAAATTACAAGGTTTAAAACCATTTAAAATAATTCCTTTCTGTGAGGTTATGCCACCAACTAAACAATACATTTTTGTTTTTGATTTTTAGGAAGTTGCTTTAGAAAAATTTAATTGTGCATATAAAAGTATGTGATTATATAAATATATATAATTATGTAAAATATTTATGGAGTTCCAAAGTCAAATCTAACATGGCATATCTGAGAAATCTAACTTCTGTCCAGTGTTCACACTACACTGGAGTATATTGTGAAAACAGATTTCTTTGTCAACATGATAGGTGAGAAATGGTGTTTCTGTGTATTTAATTTGCATTTCTCTTATCGGCTAGGTTGAGCACTTTTCATATGTTTGAGGCTCATTTGCATTACTTTAGATATTTCTGGGTTTTTTTTTCTGTTACTGGCCCTTTTTCTTCCCCTTCCTCTTTTCTGTCCTTTCTCTCTCCCGAACGTCCCCCTTTTTTCCTCCTCTTCTTCCTTTCTCCTCCCGCTCTCTCTTCTCCCTTCCTTCTCCTTCCTCCCACCTTCTCCTTCTTTCTTTATTAGAGAGATATTAGCCCTCCCTTTGTGTCTTAGTTTACTAATTTTAATTTAGGGTCAGGGATATTATTTCTCTTTCTTACAGATGAAAATTTTTTTAGCCTTATCATGCCTCTTGTTAATAAATGTCTGTGTTTTCTATACAAGATCAGCTCATTCTAGAATTTTTCTTATTCAAGGCACTTAGTATCTTTTAACAAAAATCAAAACTTTAAGGCAACATTTCTTCAAAGAAGATAGCCAAATGGCTTAAGGCTTCAAATGGAACATGACTCTGTGGGACTTCTGGTTTTTTACCTAACTCATTTACCTGTGTTTTTGTTTGTTTTGTTTTTGCATACAGGAACAAAAGTATACTGTGCAAATAAATGAGCTGGAGGGAAAGTTTCATCAGAAAGCCAAGGAAATTGGCATGATTCATGTAGAGCTTAAAACAATAAAACAGTTCCAGAAGAGAAAAGTCCAAGTGGAGAAAGAATTAGAGGATGTAAGTCTCTTTCTTTTTTAAAAAGAAGGTTAGAATTAACTACTACATTTGCAAAAGCCTTCACTGACATTTACTCTGGTGAAATGGTAAAGGACTCCCTTTGACATTTTAGAGATTTTTTTTACTGTAAAAGCGTAAGACATATCAGTTTAGGGCTGGATGCAAAAGATCTTGATGGTTAGACTTTTCTTTTTCTAAGTGTTGATTTCTTTGTAAATTTTACAAATCTTAGCCAGCATATTCTCCCACATTTATCAGCAGCCAAACTTTTGGAGTGACTTCAATAAGAAACAAACCACAGTTCTCTGAAAACAGTAGGGCAAAGTAGCAAAGTCCTAAAGGAAAATATGTTAAGACTGATGAATGATAATTTTAGAAAAATGTAGAAGGCTCTCTGGGTAGGTGTGTGTGGGAGGAGGAAAACTGAGTACTTTTAGAAAGTTTCTCTGATCTTGCTATGTTCTTTCTCTCACTTTCTATTCCCTCAGCTTGGAATATAGTTTTATTGCATTGATCATAATGCAACAAATATCACAGATGAGTGCCAGGCACAAGTAGCTAAAGTCAGCTTTGTGACTCTGGGCAAATTACTTAACCTATCTATACCTTGGTTTCCGCATCTGTAAAATGAGGATAATAAGAGTCTTATAGAATTGTTGTAAGGATTAAGTGACTTGATATATGTAAAGTGCTTTAAATACTGTATATGATATAGTGAGAATTATATTAATAGTGGTGTGTAGCTCTCTGGGGGGGGGAGTCCTGATTTATAGCATTAGCTGATTTCCTTAGAAATAAATACTTTTTAAAAAAAATTTATTTTTATTGATTTCAGAGAGAGAAAGGGAGAGGGAGAAACAGAAACATCAATGATGAGAATCATTGATTGGCTGCCTCCTGCGTGCCCCCCACTGGGGATCGAGGCTGCAACCCAGGCATGTGCCCTGACCGGAATCGAACCCCAACCCCCTGGATCATAGGTTGATGCTCAACCACCGAGCCACACCGGCCGGGCAGAAGTAAATACTTTTATTATGGCCAATTTCAAGCTTCAGTGTACCAATGCTTTAACAACCTGCTAGCAAAATTTCTCGTATAAGCTGGCTGTAACACACCACTGAGTATACATGAATACTGCTGCTAATATTAGTAGTTGTAATAATAGAAGTCCTGTTGCCACCAAAGATAACCATGAAGCATTTAGTATAGGGGTTAAAAGCTGGTGTTCTGAAGTCAGACTGCCAGAGTATAAATACTGTCTACATTACCTGGGTATCTTGTTAAATTTCCTCACCTGTAACATGGAGATAAGAAAACAGTACCAACTTCAAAGGGTCATTGTGAAGAATAAATGAAATAATGTTTTACATGCTTAGCACTGTGTGATAAATATTATCTGTTGCTTATCCCGCTGCTGTTATTACTCCTGCTAAAATTATGATTATTATAATCAATATTATTTAAGGCCCTTCCTCTATCTCTTTTAGTGCTTCTCACTCTCAGTTACGGTGTATCCCCCAAGCATGCTATATCTCTCAAGCTCTCTTTTGCCTACCCAGGGCCCTACTTAGCAAGAACAAACCGTGATGGGAAACCAAAGTTGTCTCCATCTTGCTTCTGTTTACCATTTAGCTAACTGCCAAATTGAAAGGGCATATGAGAAATGAATAAGGTAGATAAGATGTTGTAGTGGTTGACACCATGGACACCAGGTCCTGGCTCTGTATTGTGGCCTTGGATTGTCGGTTAACTTCTTTGCATCTTAGATTCCTCATTTGTAATATGTGGCTATCATATCACCTGTCCCCTCTTAGAGATGCTGTGTGGATTAAATAATTCAATGTACTTGGCACATTGGCTCCTATTGATGCCTATAAGAGTAGTCACATAGTAATTTATTGATGTTTTGATTATTGTTATGATTATATAGCTTTAAAAATTGTAATAGAGGACTCTTTGAAGCCTTATTTAAAGGAAAGAGTCAGTATATTTCAGGCAAGGTGGGGAGTGGGAAAACACTTTCTTAGATTGAAAGGAATGTGTTTTAACTTCTTATCATAATTGTGTAGTTATCCCAAAACCTTCCCATGAGGTTGACTTTGTTCATGAACTTGATTACTTGTTGCTTTATATCTGTTGTTATAATTGTTGTTTTAAAATTGTTCTCAATATGTATTGTTTTTTTGTAAACTGGTGATAAAATGAACAGGCAAAGTGCAGGGATTGTCACAGCTGAGATATGCAATGGGAGACAGTACAGAGATGTTCTACTGAGAAAAAATGCATGGAAAGTTTTAAAGCAGCGCAGAACAGCAGTGAAGGGAAAGCTCAAACCTAAAAAAAAAGAAAAAAGTTCTTGGTTTGAGGTAGGATTGTATTCATCTGAAGCTAATAAAATATTACAAAATTTTCAGTAAAATACTGGAAATGTTTCTAAGTGTTATAAAATAAAAGCTTATGTTTAAAAAAATAAAAATAAATTGTTCTCAATTTCCATAGCTCACCATTATACAAACTCCTTTGCAATATTTTCTGGGTAACTCCCCTTCTATGAATTTCAAGTTCTTTAAAGTCCTTAAAATAGCAGTTATATAACTGTCTTTAGTTATTTTATGCTTGTATTCTTTAATCTTTGTAAACTAAGGAGAATAAGAAAAGAGCCAAATCATCTACTTGTGTATGTACTTGTTACTGTTCACTAGTTCCTAGACTAGTATTTAATAATAAAACTTGCTAAATGAATGATATAAGGAACTGTGTAAAACAAAAACCTTTCATAGAATTCAAAGAATCTTAGAGTTCGAAGAAACTTTAGGGCCTACTGAAGCCATTATGCAGATGAGGAAAACTGAGACACAAAGTTGTTGAGTGACTTTCATGATAAGTTATAGAGCTGTTTGCAGCATCCCAGTGTCCTGAATTCCTGTCAAGTACCTCTAGTCTTGCTCCATTTCTTCACCTGCATTAGTTTCCTATTACAGCAGAACAAATTAACCCTCAAATCTAGTGGCTTAAAACAATAATAAACATTAAAAGCACAATTTCTATGGGTCAGGAATTCTGGAGCTGTTTAGCAGGGAAGTTCTGGCTCAGGGTCTCTTTTAGGGTTGCAGTCAACATACCAGCAAGGCCCTGGCTGGGTAGCTCAGTTGGTTAGAGCATTGTCCCCATACTTCAAGATTGTGGGTTTGATCCCCAGTCAGGGCACATACAAGAATGCATAAATAAATAGAGCAACAAATCAATGTTTCTCCCTCTTTCTCTCCCTCTCTCTCTCCCTTTTTTTGATCTAGCTGGAAATCACATAGCATGACTTCTATCATCAATTTTATTAGTTAAGAAGTGAATTCCTAAGTCTGGCCTACATTCTAAGAGTAGAGAATTAGGTTCCATCATTTGGAAGGACTGTCAAAGAAGTCATGGACATATTTTAAAACCACTACACCACTATAGTCCAAAATACCTCTACAGGAATGACCTTAAAATATCACAGTTCTGATCATGTTCTGATCACTTCCCTCTAGAATCTGCTTTAGTATTTCTCTATTGTAAATGGAATATTGTCCAGACACCTTAGCTTGAGTATCAAGACCCTACACCTACTTTGGAACCTTATTACCTTTTTTCACCATACCTCCCCATGCACACCCCTTTTAATCCATCCAAACTGGATATTCACTCATCCCTGAAGTTTTTTATACCTTTGTTACTTTGTTTACATTCTTTCTTCTATCTGGAATATATCCCTGATATATTTCTGTCCATTAGGATTTTACTTATCCTTCAGAGGCTCAGCTCAAATGCATGTTTTCCATAAGGTCTTCCCCCATAGTCCTTTTAAAAAGTAATTTTCTTCCTGCCATTTGCGACAACTTGGATGAAACTTGAGGGCATTATGCTAAGTGAAATAAGTCAGACAGAGAAAGACAAATACTGTATGATATCACATATATGTGGAATCCTAAAAAAGCCAAACTCAGAGAAACAGAAAGTAAGTAGAGTGGTGGCTTCTTGGGCTGGGGGAGGGGGAAATGGGGAAATATTAGTCAAAGGGTACAGCTATAACATTGATAACTTCTGTGGAATCATGTATATCATGATGATTATAGCTAATAATACTGTATTTTTTTATTTTTATTGATTTTAGGGGGGGGGAAGGGGCAGAGAGAGAGAAAAAAGAGAGAGAAACATCAGTTTGTTGTTCCACTTAGTTATGCATTCATTGGTTTATTCTTGTATGTGCCCTGACCAGGGATCGAACCCACAACCTTGGTGTATCAGGGTCAATGCTCTAACCAATTGAGCTACCCAACCAGGGCAATAATACTGTATTATATACTTGAAAATTGCTAATAGAGTAGATTATTTATTAATTAATTTATTTATTATTGAATTTATTGGGGTAATACTGGTTCACAAAACCATACAGGTTTTAAGTGTACAACTCAACAAAACATCATCTGCACACTGCATCATGCGCCATCACCCAAAGCAGTCTCTTTTTGTTCCCATTTATCCTCCTTTGCCCACCTCCACTCCCCTTTCCCCCTGGCTATCACTACACTGTTGTCTGTGACTATGTGATATATATGTGTGTGTGTGTGGGGGGGGGTTTGTTTAATCCCTTCTCCTACTTTCATCCAGCTCCCTAACCCCGCTCCCCTCTGACAGCTGTCAGTCTATTCCATATATCCATGCCTAAGATAGTAGATCTTAAATATTCTTACCACAAAAACGAAACGGTAATTATGTGTCAGTACTGGAGGTGTTAGTTAATGCTGTGGTGGTAATCATTTTGCAATTTATAAATGCATCAAATCAACACATTGAGCATCTTAAGCTTACACAATGTTACATGTCAATTATATCTCAATAAATATGGTAAAAAATAAATAAGATTATTAGTGAAAAAAAGTAATACTTTTCTCTGTGTCCCCATAGCATTTTGTATCTTTTTTTTACCACTTAGCTTATTCTATCTTGATATTATATTTATCATTTGTTTTATCTCCCCTACTAGATTGTAAATTCTTTGAGGTACAAACAGTGTTGTCCTTTATATTCATCAAAATGCAAGATAAACAGTAATGCTCAATGAATATTGTTAAATGCTGAGTGGGCCTTTTCATTAAAAGTGTAATTGAAGGGATATCAAGTTTTCTTTTAACTAGTTGGAAGGAGTCCTTCCACAATGTTTGCATATGTCAAATCATCATTATGTATACTTGAAATACCTTACAAATTCATTTGTCATTTATACCTCAATAAAGCTGAAAAAAAGTTTAGAAGGAATATTGTTTTGTTTTATATGAAAAGGATACATATTGAATCAAGTTAATTTCCTTAACTTTTCAGGAACTCTCAAAATAGTCATCCTAAGTGGAGGTATACATTCTGACTCAAAGTGAATGAGGAACTAGCTCATAGTCTAGGGGGCTGTGGTGTGATTTTTTTTTAAGAACAATGTTGCCACCTAGGGGACAAATAGATTTCATACCTCTTCAAAGAGGGCTGTTGGCCAGGAAGACTTAAAATTCAAAGGCTTATGGGAAAAATAAGGTGGTTCTGTGGAATATGGTAGAATTAAGGCAGGTGTGGAGGCCCATGAACTTAAAATTGGGGTGGGGTATATGCTCAGCTGGTATGGCTCATTGGTTAAGCGTCGACCCATGAACCAGGAGGTCACAGCTCGATTCCTGGTCAGGGCACATGCCCAGGTTTTCGGGCTCAATCCCCAGTAGGGTCCATTCAGGAGGCAGCTGATCAATGATTCTCTCATCATTGATGTTTCTATCCCTCTCTCCCTCTCCCTGAAAAAAAACACAGGGGGGATATACATAAATGAAGAAAATTAATTATACTGTGTAATAGAATTCATTGTATAAATTTAAGAGGCTAATTACATTTAGATTATCAAGGTAGTCAAAGCATATATTTTAAAGAAAAAATTACTTCTATCTGATTAGCAGAAGAAGCGTACATTGGTAGGTTGCAGTTGTTATTTTATTTTATTTTTTTTAAATATATCTTTATTGATTTCAGAGAGAGGAAGGGAGAGGGAGAGAGAGCTAGAAACATCAATGATAAGAGAGTCATTGATCTGCTGCAACCCGCCACCCGGGCATGTGCCTTGGCAGGGAATCGAACCCCCATCTCCTGGATCCTAGGTCGATGCTCAACTGCTGAGCCACGCCCGGCTGGGCTGCGGTTGTTATTTTTTAATAAATTGTTTTTTCTTTCTTTTTTTGACAAAGTGATGATAATCATTTCAGCAAATTTAGATGATAAAGAAAAGAAAGCCCCCTCCCACACACAAATATCTAGGGATAACCATTGTTAATATTTTGGTGTATTGTGTTTCCATTTTCTTCCTCCGCTATATAGAAACATATTTTTAAAATATTTTTACAAAAATGAGGTCATGATGTACAAATTGTTTGTTAGCCTGACTTTTGTGAACATTTATGTATTGTGAACATTTTTCAATGCCATTATGTACTTTTCTATAAAATATTTTGACTAAATACATGAAATTCTATTGAGTAGATGTATCATGATTTATTAAGGTCCCTTGTTTTTGAACATTTTGACTTTTTTCTAATTTTTCACTCTTACAAACTGTGACGAACATCTAAGTAACAAAGTATTTTTTTATATATTTGTTTTTTAGGATAACTTCTTATAAGTGGAATTTGTGGGGTAAAGCACATGAATTTTTAAAGATTTTTTATATGTATTGTCTATCTTTCAAAAGATTTATTTATTTATAGATTTTCAAGGGAGTTCAATGACATATGAAAAGTTCATGCTCCTCCACCCATACACACACTAGGATGGCAGACATTTCCATAAACTTGCATATTGACATTAATTTTGACAATCTTTGACAACGTAAGAGGCGGTTCTCCCATCCCCCTTTTTAGATTTTATTAAATTTATTGGGGTGACATTGGTAAATAAAGTTGTATAGGTTTCATGTGTACAATTCTATGATACATCATCTGTATATTGCATTGTGCGTTCACCACCCAAAGTCAAGTCTCCTTCCATCATCATATATTTGACCCCCTTTACCCTTTTCTAACCCCCACTTTCCTTCTGGTAACAACCATACTGTTGTCTGTGTCTATGAGTTTTTGTTTGTCTTATTTGTTTGTTGCTTTCAGTTTTATATTCCACATATAAGTGAAATCGTATGGTTCTTGACCTTTCCTGTCCTACTTATTTCACTTAGCATGATATTCTCAAGATATCCATATTGTTGCAAATGGCAGTATTTCATCTTATGGCTGAATAGTATTAAGAGGCCATTTTTTTAAAGTATATAAAAGCACGGGGAGAAAGAAGAGCATCTAAAAGAGATCATATAAAATAGAGATTACAGTAAGGAAAATTGGTAGGTATATGTGGGAACAATACTAATCATTATATTAAATGGTTACTATTCTAAATACATGTATTATTTGTTATTTAATCCTTGCCACACCCCTACAAGATAGCTACTATTATGATCTTCTTTTTATTCCTGGAGATCTGAGATTTTGAGGAGTTAAGTGACTTGCCCAGAATCAAACAGCTGGTGAGAGACCTAGCACTTGAACTCTTGTCTGTCTGATGGGATGCCTTTTTTATGGCATGAATATTAGATTGGATATGCCTATGTTGATCTGATAGCTTTTTAAAAAATATGTTTTTATTGATTTTAGAGAGAGAAGAAGGGAGAGGGAGAGAGAGAGAGAAACATTGATGAGATAGAAACATCAGTGTGCTTCCTCCTGCATGCCCACTAACAGGGGACCGAGCCCACAACCCAGGTATGTTCCCTGACCAGGAATCGAACCGGTGACCTCTTGGTGCATGGGACAACACTCACTCTACTGAGCCACACCAGCTGGGCAGAATCATAGCTTTAAATTAGCTCTACTTTCTTTGCCTAGAAGAATTTTATGTCCTTTTTATTATATAGCTTTAGAGGACAGAAGGATTCATCTGTTGGAATCATAGCAAGATGTTTTTTTCAATTAATACTGAGAAGAATTTTCTAAAAATAAGAACTATTAAACGGCAGCTTAGTGACTTAATGAGATTTGAATTAGTGATATTCTGTTTCTAAATATTCTTCCATATTAAGTGAGAAATTATATTGTATGACTCCTCTGGTCCCTTCCAGTTCTAAAATATGATTCTGAGGGTCCACATGGTTAAAATGAAGATATTTAGAAAATATGATTATGAGGACACCTTGTCTGAATGTTCTGAAAACTGTTATTCATGAAAGGCCTTTTAGTAACTCAATACTGATCCTGTAAATCTAGAGAAGATTGGAGGAAATATAGTACTCACATGCAAAGACATGGAGTTTTTCTGTGTGTTCAGGATTAAGAGGTAAAATATAACAGAAAATGTTTCTTTATTGAGAATTTTCTAGGAATATGCCCCAATCAACCCCAACCGCATTTCCTATTGACCAGGCTTCATTGTTATTGTTGTTGTTTTGTTTTGCTATTTTAATTTTAGCTGAAGGAGAGTTTAAGACACACGGAGCAGAAACATCAGGACACTCTTAGAAGCCTGGAAAGCAGGTTTTTTAAAGAAAAGGTATGATATATTAAGTTAATTAAGAACTTTGTTTATGAGAACAGCAGATATGTACTTAAATGCATTCTGAGACATTGATATGTACCTTATTAGAAGATTGTTATCAAATTACAGTAGTATAAAAAATGGGGAAAACAAAACCTATTTTAGATATCTCAATGTCTAGTCTTTTCCCCCTCCCATTTAGAGATTCTCGAAATCCCCAAGTGAGATTGTCATCTTACCAATGCTATTGGACATACCACACTCCCCACTTTGGTGTTTCCTTGGTGGAACTCAAGGTGCATGTACCTCATTATAAAGGGGAGGTGGGATTGGGGAGTTCACTCTGGTACACATGAAGTACATTTTAAGTATTATTGCTTGGGTGCCATCCTAGAATATAATCTTCATGAGAACAGGGACCCTATCTGTTTTGTTCATCACAGAATCTCCAGTATTTAAAAAATCTGGTACACTATTATTGCTCCATAGGAATTTGTTGAATGAAGGAATGAATAATGACTCTTATCACTCTAAAAAAGAATGACTCTCCTCACTGTATTTAGCAGAAATTTTTCCCAGCTCTGCTTTGCCATACTGATGTGGAATTATCTGTCATGTTGTCTCTTTAGTGGTGAAATTGAAAGGTACCCTAAGGTTCCTGTGTTCACAGTATCCTCCTGCTGGCCCCTCCATCAATAGTTGGAGTTCACATCAGGTCATGTGGACAGGAGTGTTTTATTTGACATTATAAAATAAATACTTAACTTTTTTTAAAAATATGTTTTTATTGAGTTTCAGAGAGAGAGGAAAGGAGGGGGAGAGAGAGAGAAACATCAATGAGAAACATCATTGATCAACTCTGTATTAAAACAGCCTATTTTCTTTTTTAGCACCGACTAGAACAGGAAGCTGAAAAGAAGATAATAATGCTGGCAGAGAGAGCCCATCATGAAGCTGTCGTGTAAGGGATTGCTGCCTTTTTTCTTTGTAATAGCCTCTCTTACCTCTTTGTAGGTCTGTTTTGTTCTTATCATGTTGTCTTCCCACTTCTCTCCTGGTTTGCTATCTTCAAATTTTCTGGCTTATTTTCCCTCCCTGTTTCCAGAAAGAGAACTTTGTATTTCCACCCCTTTTCCCTCCACTCTTTTTGTAGCAGCGTGGTGTGAGGGTAAGAACCTGGGCTGTGAAGTTAGACTGGTTCTCAGCACATAAGCCAATTGACTGTAGGAAGAGTCCTTAACTTTTTTGAAATTAAATTTCTTTATCTAAAAATGGGTTTAATAATAGCAACCTGGCAGGGTTGTCCTTATCATTACTGTTGGAGGCTAAAGCAAGCATGCTTCTAGTTTGGTAATATCTGAAACTTAGGTCTCTGCTCTGAAATCTTGTATCTTTCTATTTCAGGCAATTAAACCATGCTGGAAGAGCTGTTTTTAAAGAGAATGTTTATCTCCAGAAAGCTCTTGACTACCACCTGAAGGAAGCTGATGCTCTACAAAAAAAATCTGAGAAGTTGCTCCAGTCTCAGACTTCCCTTTTACATCAAAAGGTTCCAGACTTTGTTTCCTATTTTTTTTTTTTTTTTAAAGAATTAGGTTGGTAAATACTAAGCATTGAGTATAATAAAGATACATAAGGACAAAGGGACTGTTTTCTTCTGTCTGGATGATGTACCTTTCTTATCTCAAAAGATTAATTACTGAATCACTAAGAAGCATTAGACTTGGCATTATAAAGAATGTATCAGAAACATAAATGTAACTCCTATCATCTACTACTTGAGAAGACTCATTTTGCTTTGCTTAGAGTTGGTCCCTGAATCACTTAGGAACAGGTTCAGCTGTAATAGCCCTGACAACAGTGGCATCATCACATAAGGGTTATTCTCTCACCTAAAGGAAGTCTGGAGGTAAGCACTCCGGAGCTGGAACGGTAGTGCCACAAAGTCAACAGAATCCAGGTTCCTTAACTCTGCTCTGCAGCCTGTGGCTTACATCCTCAAAGTTACCTCATGGCCCATGGCAGCTGCTAGAGCTCTAACCATTCCTCAAACAGCAGGAAGGAAGAAGGACAAGAAGGAAAAATATATGCCCCTCCTTTTAGTGATCTTCCTGGAAGTGTACTTCACACATTTCTACTTACACCTTATTGATCAGAAGAACCTACATAACTATGCTGAACCACACGAGAGACAGGGAATTTTTTCATCTGAGCTTACTGCCTTCCTGAAAAAAATTGGGGTTTTATTACTTAGGAGGAAAGGGAAAATAGACATTGTGATAGGCAACTAGCAAACTGCCAGAGTTTCCAGTATGTAGTTGTTAAATTAATGTTTTTACTGTATAGTCATATTGATCTTGGAATTATCCTTTTGATAATATAAAATATTTAACCTTTCAGAATTTTAGGGGAAGGAAAGTTTCTTAATTAGTAAAATCAGTGGTCTTCACAAAGTCTAGACAAGGATCCTAGACTTTTACTCTCCATACACAGAATACCAAAATATCACCATTGCAACCTGGCATCAAACTCATATAAAGTAGTAGAAATTAGTGAGGAACTTTTAAGTTCTGAAATCTCCCACCTTTCTCATCTTTTTTTTTTTAGGAGATCAACGATCTGTTGGTTAAGGAAAAGGTTATACAACTTACCCAGCAGAGAACACAAATCCAGACCCTTCAGAAGAGGGTGATAAGCTTAGAGACTGCCCTGACTTGTATGACCAGAGAGTTTGAGACTGAAGTTCTAAAACTGCAGCAACAGGCAATGGTAAATAACCAAAATGATCAGATTGAAGTTTATAAGCTGCAGAACCTTCTTCAGATGAAGGACAGGGAAATGAATAGAGTGAAGAAGCTGGCCAAGAACATACTGGATGAGAGAACAGAAGTGGAAAGATTCTTTTTGGATGCTCTACATGAAGTGAAGCAACAGATTGCATTTAGCAGGAAGCATTATAAGCAGGTAGCACAAGCTGCTTTCAATCTTAAAATGCGAGAGGCATGTGCCGGAAGAACAGAATATCCCAAAATTCGAACATTTGATGGCAGAGAGCACAGCACCAATAGTGTGAATCAGGATCTTATGGAGGCCAATAAATGGTACTAATAATACTTTAATATTTTATCTTTTGTGCTGCTATTTTTGTGCTCTTTAGAGAAATAAGAACCCTGAAAAGCTCAGTTCAGTAATACCTAAGTACTGAGTAGATTACTTAGTGAGTTACTTGAGGACAGGAACTGACTCATCTTTGTAACCACTATGCTTGGCATAGTTTGTGGGGCCTAATAAATATTCTTAGTGGATGGCCTCTTTTCTTTGTAATAGAAACTTGTTAAAGAGACTGGATTATTATTTTTTCCATAGAATGTCATTATAGTATCTTTTAACATGCTTCTTTATTTTGTTTCCTGTAAACTAGTTATAAAGGTTTGATAAGATTCAGGTTATACATTTTTGATAAACATGCTTTCATAAATATTTTATAATGTTCCCTTTACTATTCTGAGGTGAAATTCATAGGTAATAATACCTAACTAAACATATAATTTAAAAAATCAATATAAAAATTAGTTTTAACAATTCTTTCTTATACAGAACTGTCCTATGGATTGAAGGACACCCAGTAGTGCCCCTCATCATTGCATTAACCAAAAGTCCCCACAAGTTTCCTTGAGATGTACTGCCACTATGATAAAAGTAGCAGAATGCTTGAGACAGTTGTAGACTATCTACAATGATTAATCATTTCCTTAGCATTTCTATCTGTTAGAGCATCTTCCCCCTATAAACCATGGATTAAATTATGGTGCATTTAAAAAAAATTATTCTTGAAATTATGTTTTATATCCCAATGAAATTAGATTCTTCAAAGGCCTTAACTCAAGAAACTTAAAAGGACTCCCAACTACTATGTACTTAACATCTTATTAAGAGTGCTTCCAAATGTATGTTCTGCTTTAAATTATCTTTTAGTAGATTAATTTGTATATTCTTTTAAATTATATAGCTGCTGGGAAGGTTGGATATGGTTAATAGCTTCTGAAAGATAAGACTCTTCTCCAAAATTGTCCATACTGCATATAATTTTTTAACTTTCTATATTCAAAAGTCTATATAATAACACTCTTTTTACCAAGAGATTCATTGCAATTTCCTCATATTTATTTAATGTAAAGCAAGTTGAGTCCCTATCAAACATAAGGCAGTTCCTCTTACTTTTATCTATTGTATATTAAGTAGTAGATTAGTTTTCAGAGAAAGGTACATAAACTGATTCTGTACATTGTTATTGCAGAAACTGGACTTGTCCTATTCTGCCTTCTGTGTGACATTTTTGCTACTGATCAATTTGTCACCTTGACCTCAGTTTCCTATTGCCTCTACCAGCAGGGCAGGAATGGCATTTAAAATATTACATCATCTGCTTAAGAGGCAGATTAGAGAAGGACAGTTGAAGTATATGGTGATAATAAAGCAAAACCTAAACTTTTGAAAGAAAACTAACCCAAGTGCCTATATGCAAAAAATTTCTCCCATTATACAACATCAAAACTAGCTACATTTAAACCAGCTTTTGTAAATAGCAAGTAGACTATGAATCTTCTGGTAAAATTATAATATAGATAAAGACCCGCTTGGAAAGCTTAGCTAGGCTGATTTGGAGGTAAGAAAATAGAGATAAGTTACATGTTGTTTTCTAAATTTACCTTTTGTTACCGTATCTTCAGAGCAAAGTATCTAATACAAAAGAAATGTTAAAAGGAATTAATCAATAATCTCACCAAACAACTGGGTTTTTTCTTGTTCTTTTTGTTTTTGTGTATATCTAGATACATTATAGTCATAGTACAACTTTCTATTTTGTTTATTTGCTTGATGTTTAAGCACACCTTTTTTCATGTTATCGTTTTTATTTTATTTTAATTTTAATGACTACTTATAACATTTCAGGTTGGCTAGCATAGTGATACCCTTTTCAACTTTATAATTTTGTAATGGACACAGTTTGCTTTATAGTCATTGCATTTGGAAACCTCATAATATTCAGTTATGGTTTGGAAATTTTCTTTTCTCATATTTACATATTTTATATTTTTCAAAAAGAAGAGATGCTTACTTTGACCATATTTTTCCTTTTCACTTTTTTTTCTTTGATATTCTTTCTTCAGGACAGATATTCAAGGAAATGTGGATATTGGAGATTTAACTTGGGAGCAGAAGGAGAAAGTCTTACGATTGCTGTTTGCAAAAATGAATGGTTTTGTTCCTAGGTAAGTCCCTATTTCTGTAGTGAAATACCAAGTTGTTATCCACCCTAGAAACCATGAAGAAACAGTGAATTTACTCTCACTTAAGAGTGAAAGGATTAGGAAAAGACCAGAAAATTTAAAAGGGCCATACTGGTTGGCTATGCAACTCTCAGAGATAAATAAATGAATGAACATGAAAATGAAAGATAAATTAGAATTAAAGGGGGTAGAAAAGAGATTAATTTTAGATGTTTAAGGTATGCTTACTAAGAAGGTACAACATTGCTCAGCTGAATGAGTGGTAACTGAAGAGAAGCATAACAATGGTTAAGATTTTATTGGCCTTCAAAGATAAGTAAATTATATTTAAGCTAATTATTAATCAAGAGAATCTCTAATACCAAGAAAAAGACCTAGAAAGGAAAACAAAAATCTACAGATATTTAAAATAATTCTTCTTAATGAATTGTTTCGCTCTCTCCTCTATGGTTTATTAGTGACTATAACCCTGGTAATGAACTATAAAATGGGTAAAATAAATCAACCACTTACTGATTGCTTGTTACAAGCTTGGCACTCTGGGGATGAAAAAGAATTACAAGACATTGCCCTTGATCTCAAAGAGCTTAAAACGAACGTGGTTACACAAACAAAACAAAAAAAATAACAAGGAAAAAATAGATGGCACAATAAAGTACAATTGGAGTTCAGTGGGCTGGAGTAGTCAGGAAAGACTCAGTCAGGAAGACAGGAGGTATGACCACGTGGGGTGCCTTGTAGGAGAGTGGGATAGAGAGCGGGGAGGGCACATCAGGCAAGGGGCAAAGTAGCAGCATAGGCAAAAGCCCAGAGGTAGGAGTGGGCATCGGGTATTTAGGGAACGTTGGGGGAAACTGCCTAGCTTGAGGAAATTTGGTAATGCTAGGGAGTAATTAGTAATTGGAAGTAAAGATTAATCTATAGATTAAATTATGATGAGCCTTAAAAACCATGCAGAAAAGCCCAAACCTATGCTATTGTAGATTCTAGAATAGTGTAACATACTTTTCTTCTCTGCTTTGAAGGAATACGGGTAGCAATAAGCCTTCCTTTCGTACTCTCACCCGGAGGGCTCACAGATTATTGTTCTCAGAGCTAGCCTGAACCAACAGTGACAGTGTCACAGATCGGAGGGCAAAAACAGGGCTGGGGACCAGCAGAAACTGCTGCATTACTCCTGTGGTGGTGAGGGGTTTAGCAAGTGGGAGCAGTTAGGAAAAAAGTGGGGAAACTGAGAGACAGGAAGGAGAAACAGAGCTTGGCAATCAAGGACAAAAGGAATAAAGACAACAAAGTATAAATTTTTAAGTTTTTTAGCTTACGAAATAAAAGAATGGTGATATGAAAAGCAAACAAAAAACTGTAAACCCAGTGTGAGGGAAATACTTAAATTTTATTTAATCCATCCATCAAGCTATTTAACATACACATATTGAGTGCCTGCCATTTACTGAGGATATCATGTTGAGCAAAGACATCATGACTAATATCAAGGAGTTTATGGTTTATGTGGGAGGAAAGTCATTATTCAAATCATCACACAAGTATATACAAAAGTACAGCTATGACAGAGGCTCAAAGGAGGAGTATGAGAGCCTAGATTAGGGGAATCTGACCTACTTGAGGCTGAGAACATTTATGAGGAAGTAAAAGCTTGAGCTGACCTCTAAAAGGTAAACAGGGACAAAAGGGGAGAAAAGCCCTGGCTGGTTGGTCAGTGGTTAGAGCATCAGCCTGAGAACTGAAAGGTCCTGGGTTCGATTCCAGTCAAGGGCACATACCTCAGTTGCAGGCTCGATCCCCGGCCCTGGTCAGGGTGCATGCGGGAGGCAACCATACTATGTGTCTCTCTCACATTGATGTTTCTCTCTCTCCCTTCCACTCTCTGAAAAGCAATGGAAAAATTATCCTTAGGTGAGGATTAAAAAAATAAAATAAATCAAAAAGGGGAGAAAAAAAACATTCTAGACAGAAGAAATGAAAAGTAGTATTTTCAGTGTCAAATTGGAGACAATGGCAATATATTGAAGTGAAAAACACTTAAGGCATTTGTAAATAGTGATTGGAGTACAGATGATAGTTTAAGGGGAGGGAGTTGAGCATGTTCAGTGAAACTGGTAGTTGAGCTCAGAAAAGTGAATGAAGGTAGAATAGTAAAGGGCTGAGGCTAGAACCTTTAGGAATAACCACGGTTACTGAACAGGAGAACAAGGAAGAGTACAAGCAAAAGGAGGAGTTTAAAGTATTGGCTAAGTGGAAGATGGAGGACTGAAATGGCTTTTGTGTCTCTGCCAGCCTTCCACAGCGGCGGAGGTATGATCCAGGCTGTAGGTACTGAATGTCTGTCTCATTGTGAGTTGACTCTTCTGTACCCCAGGGAATACAGCCAGAGTTCCACTCCTCAAGTTCCATACTGTGTTGTTTTTAACACTGGAGAAACAGGAATTTGAGTGTAATCTTTCACACCAAAGTAATGAACTTGAACCTGGCGCAATGGAACCATGTCTAAGCCTGATGGAATCTCATGCCAGGGTTGGATGAAGGAAAAAGAATATAGGAATAGAAAGGTGAAATGTTGAGATAAATGTTGAGATAAAGATGAGATAAAGATGAGATTAAATGAGAAAGCTCAGATTAGAGAGGAATTAAATGATAAAAGGTCTACCAAGGCAAGTAGAATAATTAGGAAGTTGATAAGAGTTTACAGATTGTATATGATTATGAATTCAACAATACAGTATTTTTCTTTGTGAGTGAACTAGGTCAAAGGAGTATAATCAATACACTGTACTCTTTAATGCATCAGCATCAGCAACAACTCTGGCTATGACTTAGGCACTGGTAGTAGCGAAAGTATATTATTAGACTATTTAAGATAGCCAGATTTTGAATGGGTTTTATAAAAAAATTGGTGGTGGTGGTGGAGAGAAACATTTGTTCTACTTATACATTCATTGGTTGTTTCTTATATGTGCCCTGACCAGGGATTGAACTCACAACCTCAGTGTATCGGGACAACACTCTAACACACTGAACTACCCAGCCAGGGCCAGGATAGCCAGATTTTGAATGAGTTTATGCTGCTTTCATGTGCACCTAGTTGAGGGCAGTTTTAGGAATGAGATATGTGTCTTTATCTGCTGGCAAATCAACCTACTATACTTTTTTATAACTGTTAAGTTCACTTTCAAATTAAAATATTGAATTAGTGATATGTTTATTTCCTATTCTTAAACCAGACTTTCCAAAGTATAGGAGAAATTTTTATACTGTGTCTCTCCATTGGGTAACCTTTCTGTGTTCTGTAGTTCTTTTTGTAGGAAGGGAATTTTTCTGGCCATGTTTTTGTTTTTAGCCAATACTCTGGTTTAACCTTGCCCACATCACTGTTAACAACTGTTATGTATCATCATCATGATCATCTCCATAAATATTTCCATTTCTTAAGTTCAACATGTCTCAACTTTAAGAGACTATAAGTTTACATTACACTACCTCTATGTATATGTAAAACATCATTTTTGAAAATGAAAAGCCCATCTAAATGGAAGCATTCATTTAGCACTTTTATAGTACAGTTGAAATAAGGGCACAAGGTGACACTGCCTCATTGTTAACTTTTACCCACTACAGGAAATACAGTCAGAGTTCTAGGCCTTCAGTTCCACAATATTTTGTTCCAGACAGTGAAGAAACAGAGGAATGTGGGTAAGGTTTCTCTCTTTTTTAAAATCCTCACCCAAGGACATGGTTTTCTTATTGCTTCTAGAGAGAGGGGACAGGAACAGAGAGAGAAACATTGATGTGAGAAACATTGATCAGTTGCCTCCCATACTCACCCCAACTGGGGATCAAACCCACAACATAGGTGTGTGTCCTGACGGGGGATTGAATCCGGTGTAAGGGATGACGCTCCAACTGGGCCACCTGGCCAGGGCAAGGGTAAAGCCTCTCGACAGAGCAATGAATGTGAGCCTGATCACAATGGTTCTTGTGGATATCTTATACATGCTAGAATTGAGTGAGAGTAACATGACCAGTCTATTGTTCTGAATTAGGTTCTTGTGTGCATGGTTGTTGACATGGTCTCTTACTTTATCATTATTGCAGGGATGAAAGTAAGCTTCAAGATCAAACCTTCATCACCCAGCAAGTACCAATCTCAGACTCTTCTGGTGAACTGGTGATATCCAATATGCAGAAAGGATCACATGAGTCTGACGTGGTAAGGAGTCAGTAATCTAACCAAACAATACATATAGCTGTTACCTTTCCCCATGCAGCTTCTTGCTGTCACAGTCACTTAGCTCTCCTATCCAGGAGCTCTCAGGGATCAGTGAAATGAGTAATAATACTAGTATGAGATCGTGGACATTTTTATAACAATATCCATACCAAGGCAGGCATGTAGTTAATGCAAATGCATATTTTTGCCTCTTAGTGTAGAAAACCTATAATTTGCCTTTTGAAATACACAGCCTAGCCAAAATATACACTATCTTTTATGTAAGAATTATAACATAACAACTATGTAACTCTTGGCTTTGGACAGAGGTGGGAAGTTGGGGTCACTATAAGCTACGGGACAAGGGCATTATAAGGAAGTGTATAGCACCATTTAAAAAAAATACCAGATTTTCTTTTTAATAGCTTTTTATTTGTAATTTGTTATTCATAATCAGTACAATGTAGAATCAGAGAAATTTCAAATGAGGCCACATCAGAGCAAAAAGAAAACAAAATACTGATTTTTTTTTTTAGCTTCTATTAGCATAAATGTAACTGTACAGATATTTTTTCCATCTAAGAAGCAAGAAACTTCTGAGTAACAAGTAGCTAGCCAAGTAAGTTGATTCCAATTAGAGCAACATAATTCTGATTAGTTAGTATTTTAAAAAATGTGATTTCCCTTAAATGTAAGGAAAATTTAGGACTCTCTCTGACTTAATTCCACTTGGAATTTAGAGAATATGACCTTTTATTCAATCCAGCCTGTAGTTGTTGGATTGGATTAAATATCACTACCTGTTGCCAGCTAAGAGAAAAAAACAAAGGTCATTCTATAAATTTCTACTGCTTCACCTTTAGGAAGGCAAATATGAAACAAATCAGGAAGACCCAGTAGGGTCATAAGTGTATTTTATTAAAATTGTAGTCACCTTAAGTCAGCGATTTTCAACCAGTGTGCTACAAGAATTTTTAAAATATGCAATACCTGACCTCTTTTCCATTAGATTGTTAAATTAAAAAAATGACAACATCCAACACAACAATAGTTGTCTGGTGTGAATGCATTCTTGAACCATATATATATAGGTCATATAATATAGTTGCACTTATTAGTCATGTTACATAATAAGGTTGCCTCTGATTGGTTAATTCTTGGTACCAGAAATCCTTATATACAAGTACAGGCACCTAATTTTTTAAAAAGTCACTTTGGAGCATAAAGGGTAGGTAATTACTATTATTTTTCTGTGAAACAACCAAAATTATACCTTTTTTTTTTCCAGATTGGCAAAAAAAATGTAATAAATTTTAGTAATTAGTTTATATGTGCCATGACATGAAAAAGGTTGAAAATCGCTGCCTTAAGTGATTGAAAATTTTGACATTCTATCCAGTAGGTGGTAGTAATAAGCCTAAAATATGGAGAGTGCACAATCCTCTTCAAGGTTTTCACTAGCCTTAATTCACTGAGTTAACTCCATGGAGTAGGTTAGCATTATCCACATGACTAACAGTGAAACAGGAAAATAAATGACCTATGCCATCTGGCTGAGGACCTGAGATTACTTACTCTATCAGAGCCAGAAGGCTCCACCTAGCTCACTGGGTGAAAACTGTATCAGAAAGATAGGATTCAATCGGGATGTAGAACAAAAAGACAGAAGCTATTCTTTTTAGCACTTCCATATCTATTTGACTTAAAGTTTAGCTACATCAAAGAAACAAGCATAAAGACACAGTTGAATTAATGGTAGCAAAATAAATCTGTCGTGAAAAGCTTTAACATTCTTAGACCCTAGTCAATTATTCTATATTAAGGATTCTTTTATTAAAAAGTTTAATTAATGAGAAATGCAAGAGGAAAGAACAACATAAAACATTCGGCAAAAACTATCAGGTTAGACTTGCTTAAAGCAAACATCCCTTGATTTCTGGGACTAAAATAACTTTTGAAATGGTTTTCTTATTGGCATCTGAGTTAATGACTGAATCGTTAATTAATGATTGCTGCAGCAACCCTGAAATTTAACATTTGGCACACACAACAAAACATCAATTTCGCCAATGCATACTGAGGTATCCTTGAGAAGTGATTTTAAGAAGTAGGAACAGAGACAAGGATAGAATTAGTGGTCATGAATCACTAGGACAAAGTGGCATTTAGCAAAAAGAAAGAAGCAGTTGTCACAACTGCAGCATAAGTAGTAATGGACTGTATCTTGTGTAGTGTGGGGTGAGAGGCTCAGGAAAGCCTGGCAGAGGGGTATCCCCCCTGGCAATTACGTAGGGCTGTGTCTGAGAGTCAACCAAAGGGTGAATTTGTATGCTATTTCCTCATCCAAGCAGTCCTCTTCCAATTACGGAAGATCTTCTTTACAAACACTAGTCTTCTGTTCAAGTCATCAGAAAAGGGGAGAATTTTTAGAAAACAGGTCTAAGCTCTCATTCCAGATAAGCATTTCACAGTTCACAACAGCTACCTCAAACGAGAAGAATGAAGAGTAAGTGAAAATCTGGTTTCAGAGTTACACCAGGAGTCTCCCTATAGCAACTTTGCAATGACTCATGGTCCTGAGAAAGATTTTAGTTACAAGGTATTCCATTTCCAGGGATCTGATCTGAGCAAAGTTGGCAAGTGAAGGTGGTCAAGAATAAAGGGAGGTGACTTAGGATGGACTGAATCTGGGACAAACTCGTTTCTAACGGCCCATGGTAGGCATGACTACAGCGGGTGAGGAAAGAGTAGCATCTTCTTCTTTCCACTGAGAAGTGATGGTCTTTAGTTGAGTGTAGAACTGGATGCCCTAAAGAGAACAAAGGAAAAAATAGAGCAAGAGAGAGTTAGCATATATTTTTGGGAGGTTTCATGATTTCTCTTTTAATCAACTTTTGAAGGAGGTGCTTCGAAATGCTACTCACCCTCCTACCTGAGGAATAGGTACAACTAAAATCCAATATATTGTTCATGTAAATTTATCTAAAACATTTAGCATAATACCTGGCACAGTAAACAGTTGAACCTTAGTTATCATTATGTTGAAACTAGCCAAGAGCATTAGCATCTAAATGGAAAAATTCAACAGTGTAATCTGTTAAACTTATAGGTCATTCTGTTCCTAAAGCTGAATATCATGTGCTCTGAGGTCTTGACTGCTGTTTAACCTTGGGCCTTATCTGTGACATAATGCCCACCTCACAGCAATGTGTGAGGGGAAAATGAAATGACATACAAATCTCTCCTCCCCTGAAGAAGAAAAAGCAATAAAGGAATGAAATCTACATTAGGCATTTCTGATAACTGTCAGTGATGAACAGCTGTACTGAAGTAGTAAAACCCACAGTATCTTACAAATCTAAAGTAAAATGTCTGATATACACATTCACTTCTAAATCATCTATAACATGCAAGCCAAAAAAGCTCAGCATATTTAAGTCTTTATATATACATAGTTTATTTTGTAAGAGTAGGCTTGAGCAAAAGAGAATAGACTATACAGATCTAACACCAAACTACTAGAAAACTAGAAAGATACTGTTAGGAAAAAACACTAGTTTGAGTAAAATACTCTTCTATAATTACTTGACAAAATCTGGACCATGTTAATACACTGAAAACAACTTTAGAGATTATTACATACTTTCAATATAAGATATAACTAAGTTTACATTTTATTAGGTAAGAATGATACTTTCATGTCTTCTTTCCAGAATGCAAATTAGCAATTTAATTACCTGAGGATTTAAGACTTTAAACTTTATATGAGGTCAGTCTTTTCCTCCAAGAGGCCTCACTTATAGAGTAACTTATAAACTTTTGCTAATAGTATCAAACTAGTTTTACAAAAGCTGTGACTTTTGTCACAAACTATATAATCAGCCTCCAAATATCCAAAGTTTTTTCTTAGCTAGTTGGCCACACTGTCATATTCTGCTATGCAATCCCACTGTTAACTTTTTATTAACCTATAAAAGGGAGACCAGTATAGAAAAAAAATGTTATTTAGTGCTGCAGATAAGTGAATAACTAAAGTGTAATGAGGGCTTCTTAACATGGCGTAAAGATTCCTACATGACTTGTCCCGGCCTACCTCTCTAGCCTCATCTTGTATAACTCTCCTACTCCCTCCCTCCCTGTGCTCCAGCCCATTTCTGCTGTTTGAACATGCCATGCCTGTTCCTGCCTTAGGACATATGCACCTGCTGAAGGATGTGGTAATGGTGGTAATTTAATCCTCAACCTCATGAAATATAGGTACTGTTGTCATTCTCATATTACAGATGAAGAAACCTGGGGCACAAAGAGAGTATCCTCCAAGGTCACACAGTTAATAACTGGCTGAGCTGGGGTTTGAACCCAGGCAATTTGGTTTCAGATCTGCTTTATTTTTCCTGTTCAGTGCTGTACTTATAGTGCCTAGAAGAGTGTCTGGTACAAAGAAGGTGCTCAATAAAATTTGTTTAGCAAATAACACTACGGGAGAAATACGTGCAGTAGGAGCACGAGGGCGTACCCAACTGAGCTGAGGAGGGGCTGGTAGTGGTCAGAAGGAACTTTCTGGAGCAGTCCATTCTTTAAGCGGAGACAGGACAGGTGATTAAGAGTTGGGAGATGAAAATGGGGAGGCAGAGGAGGGTTCCAGGCAGAGGAAAGGCCATATATAAGGGCTTGGACTTGCTTATGCTCTTTCCCTAAAACTCTGTTCCCTCTTCATTCTTTTCAGGGGACCCACTGACAAGCACTGCTGAACAATATATGACCCCACAGAGGCTGCTGGCAGGCCTTTCCTTGCAGAATCCTTGTTCCTGAATATGTTGAAGTTTCTTAGAGGAAAAGACATTTTAAAAAACTTAGTTACCTGTTTGCCATAGAAATTGGTGTCTCCCCTGAAGGAAGAGCGAGAGCCAGTGAATGAGAACATTGGTAAAGGCACTGGAATGGGGACATTCACACCCACCTAAGACAGAACAAATCCACGTCAGATATTAACAAAAGAACTCAAACGAAGGAATTCTCCACTTAGAAGCATAAATGCTTGGCATTAGAGAGACCAATTTTATATACCCACCTTCCACCCTATATCCATCTCATTTTATTCCTGAGGGAGAAATGGGGCATTGTGGGAGATCAGAGGGGCAGCCACTGATCACTGTTTACCATCTCCCCAGGAAACAGTAAATGGCTATGAGACTCTCCTAAAAATTCTGTTCACAAACCTGTCCAACATCCACCAAGTGGGAATATTTCCGAGCAGTGGCTCCATTGGTGGTAAAGATGGCAGTTCCATTTCCATATGGGTTATCATTTACAATCTTGATAGCTTCATCCAAGGTGTCTGTCTCCAGGACCACAAGAACTGGACCAAAAATCTCCTCTTTATAACAGGTCATATTTGGCTACCAGGAGTAATGCATCCAAAAAAGAATTCAGTATTTTATGCTTATTTAGTACTTTAGTACCCACTGTTTACATGTTAGTAATCTCTTTTCATTTTTAACCACCATTTTTTAAAATGTGCTTTCTTGCTACGTTCCATCTTCCAAGCTACCAATCATATCAACAATTTGGAATTCCCATTAAGTACAATCACACTCCTTTCCTTTAAGCACTATATTTTTACAGATCTCATGACCCATCACTAGCTCCCTCTTTTATACTTGTATAACCTGTTTATACAATTATTATGTTACTGAAAATTTACATGAAAATTCATTTTTTTATAAATCAAATATAAGAAACACCACAGGAGAAATTTTCTGTTTAAAGAAACCCTGTGTTAAGTTTTCTATAACATAAACAATCCATTCTCATTCACTCCTTTGCCTCCCAAATTAGTCTGTACATTTATATTTTGATATCAGGTCACATTAAACACTCAAAACATCCTTTACCACTGCAGCTAGTTGGCTGTATTTATTGTTTATAAGTGGATTTTTCCTCCATGGTTCTTTGGCAAGAGATTTTGTAATTTCTACTATACTTACATTCAACTCAATTATTCAGGATTATAACAGGATTACAGGGGACACACACATATATATATTTTTTTAAAAGCCTCCTAACCTCAGTTTAGTCATTAATTTTAGCTGAGTTTTGATAAATAAAAAATTTTATTTGATAAATAAAAATTATTTTTTTTTGTCACTTCCTGGTGAAAATGTAGCTAAATTTAGGGCACAGTAAGTACTTAATATTGGGTGTCTGGCATGTTGATGGAAACACTTGCAATAGCTATAAGCTAGGGGCAAGAAGGAATGGGCAGAAAAAATTAACATTAAACGAATAAGTAACAAGTATAAGATAAGATAGGAGTTGGCAAAATAGGGCCATTGGGCTAAATGTGGCATGCTGCCTGTTTTTGTACAGCCAACAAGCTAAGAATTTCTTTTTTGTTAATCCTCACCCAAGGATATTTTTTCCATTGATTTTTAGAGAGAGTGTGGAAGGGAAGGGGGAGAAAGAAAGAGAGAGACAGAGAAACATCGATGTGAGAGAAACACATCGATTGGTTGCCTTCTGCATGCGCCCCGACTGGGCCTGGGATTGACCTGCAATCCAGGTATGTGCCCCCCATGACTGGGAATCAAACCCACTACCCTTCGGTCCTTGGGCTGACAGTCTGACCACTGACCCACACCAGCCAGGGCTCTATATTTTTTAAATGGCTGAAAAAATCAATCGTGGCATATAAAATTATTTGAAATTAGTTGCAACAGACATTATATATCCCTGAAAAGCCAAAAATATTCATTACCTAGCTTGCTATGGAAAGTTTGCTGACTGCTAGTAGAGTGGAAAGAGATTAGGAGTGAGAGGGGAGGTTTATTCAGACTCTAGATAAAATGAGTAATTTTATCTGAGCAAAAGATGAGGTCTCTAGTCATTAAATGTTCTCCCATTTATAAATTGGAGGGATGAGATTCCATAGCCTCCAAAGTGCCTTCAGCTCCCATATCTGGGAAATAAATAAATAATCCAGAGTTGTTTACCTTGACATTTGAGATGATGGTTGGTCCAACAAAGTTGCCATTTTCATAGCCTTTGACTTTAATTTTTCTACCATCAAGAAGGATGGAGGCTCCCTCCTTTGTTCCGCTATCGATCAGATTACAGACTCGCTCTTTGGCCTGGGGGGTGATCAGAGGGCCAAGATCAGCTCCAGGCTGGTCTCCTGTAAAACAACACAGAAGTGTTTAAGGTCTACATTAGCATAAGTTATGACTGCCAACTAAAGATGAATCCAAAGACCTGGGGATGGGGCAGATGCAGGATGGAGGGGATCTACTGGGGGGTGGGGGGTACACATCTGTAATACTTTCAACAATAAAGATTAATAAATAAATTTTTTTTAAAAAAGAGGCAATGGTAAGAACTGATATGATTGTTCCTGATGGCCAATGCCAATGCTAAAACCAAGAGCTTGGTGCCACAGATGCAAAATCTAAAGCAGCTAGGCAGATAACTGATTACCTGCATTGACTCTCAGGTTTTTGGCACGCTCCACCAGCTCTGGCAGCCACTTCTTAGCTTCTCCCACAAGGATTGCTGTTGAAAGAGCCATGCAGCGCTGACCAGCAGCTCCAAATGCTGCCCCAACCAACTGGTTCAGGGTATTTTCCTTATTGGCATCTGGCATGACTACCCCATGGTTCTTGGCTCCCTAAAGAAGTACAGAAAGTACATGAATCTTCCTTGACAAATTACAATTAGGCTAAGAAATCAGGCAAATAATCTGAGATTTCAAGTGAAAATTTAAGGTAGGGACTAGAGAATTTATCCTTTGCTGCTTTGAGGATAGATTATTTTCATACTGCTAAAGTCTTTGTAACATTGAGCAAATCTACAGGTTACATTTTTTTCCCTTCTCAGCTAATAAGCTGATATGTGTTTATTTAGATCAAAACAAAACAAAATGAGAGCCCCAATCATCACATTAAGTCAAACTGATAGGCTAAACACTGCATCAAGGAACCAATGAGAACTCCCTTCTCTTTCCTTAGAAAGGAAAGAATTTGTTGTCTGCTGGGGTTTCCAGTTACATGAAGAGCAGTGTAAACGAACTGCCAGTAATAATGCCAGTAGCCAGCTGAAAAGCAAAATAGGAGGTAGTCCTCTCCTGATACTTAATTTCTGGAAAGAGGTTCCCCAGACTGGCTTGCTTCTAGATACACAGCCTCATGAACTATGTATTATAACATCTGGTCATTTCCACACATACATTTTCAGATACAATTATAATTGACTGCATGAATAAATACCATGTCAGCTACTTAATTTTATCCCATTACACACAGTATACTCTTAGACACAGAATTCACTCAATAAATTAATATTGAACTGGGAGGAACTTAAGTCAAACTGGCCAACACACATTCAGCCATGAAAAGAAATAAGTGGGCACGTCATGAGGTTTCTAACCTGTGCACAGGTGGCTATCCTTTATGCAACATTAGTCAAAGGGTGAGAAAGTAGCAATTGGACTTTATATGTAGTATCAAAGAACTGTCAAGTATTTGACAAGGAATTAGTAGAACAGCAAAACTATATAACCAAGTAAACCACACATCTCATATGGGGATATTGGGCTCTTAAGGAGTAAGATATTTTGACATTGTAGTTAGGAGACGCCTTGAAAGGAGAGAAAGGATAAAGGGCTAGAAAACTATGGTGTGAAGGAAGGAAGGGCCAGCGCCAGAATCCGGCTTACTGCTGAAGCCCCAAGAATCGGAACAATCAGAGGAAAATGTGCCCTTTGGCACCAAAATTTGTTGTATAAGATAAAAGGCAATTAAAATGACTGAGAAGAAAACTCATCATAAAGTTCATCATTAAAGGAAAGGCATTCAGGATGAAATGGAAATAAGGAAACACTGGCATTAGAGTGGGATGAGTGGCCCCTCTGCTGAAGGACCGTTTTTAGGTAATTTCAATATGTATAACAGAGGAAAATGGAATAAAAAGTCACCATATTAGCTTGAACTCTCTTGCCATGTCTTGACCCTCTCTCGAAGATGTACTCTCCTGCCTGGTTGGATCCCACAAAGCTGATTGCTCTGATATCCGGATGATCACAAATGAAGTTTACAGCTTTAAGAAGAAAATAAATGATTACCATAAAGGAACAAATGGCTATGGGTTTCTCAATATCACAAATTTCCCCTTTTCCCACTGCTATGAGGGAGGAGTTTTCACACTTTTGTGTTTCTATGCTGGATTACTATTTTGAGGTTCTCTCTTTGTCCTCTTAATTCTTTAAACTATAAATTCTACTTAGCCTCTTCCCCTTATTTTTCTCATTTGCTCTTCCAGAATTTCCACCTCTAACTCTGAAGGCTACAACTCCTAATTTCTTCCAAAATAACAGCCTTTCAGAGCATTTGAGATCATGCTTCCCGGCACTGTCCTCAGTTTGGGCTCAAATACACTTATAAAATTCTCCAAAATAACAGCCCTTCAATACTTAACACTTCTGTTCTTTAAGAATGTGCTATTTCTTTACCTGTCATTATATACCAGAACTCTCATATACCATTGTGCCCTCATGTACACTCATGTGGAGCTTAATGACGGGGACACATTCTGAAAAATTCGTCATTAGGCAATTTTGTCTTTGTGCGAATATCATAGAGTGCACACACACAAACCTAGATGGTATAGCCTACTACACACCTAGACTAGATGGTAGAGCCTGTTGTTCATAGGCTACAAGCCTATACAGCATACTTCTGTACAAAACAATATGAGATTAAATTAAACACGAGAAAATGACGTAATCAACAGATATAGTAAACTTGAAATGCATAAGGCTGCTGTCAGCATAACACAACATATTATTTTACAGAAAACTTTTTTAAGTAGAAAGAGTACACTCTAAAAATACCAAAAAGTATAGCATAGTAAATACACAACCTGGTTATAATAAAATTACTTAATTTTATTATGCCTCAATTTTCTTATCTCTAAAATGGAAAAATAATAGCACCTGTCTCAAAGGGTTCTGATAAAGATGAAATGAGATAACATGTGTGAGGCACTAGGAACAGTGCCTAAAACACAGAAGCACTTTTTAAGTAGTAGCTATTATATGAATTAGAAGGCCTTCTTCAGTCTCTGAGGTCTAAAAATTCTGAGTTAAATATCTTCATAAATTCTCTGAACATTGAAGTAAAAACTTTTCCTTCAATTTTATCTGTATCTTGCCCTAATCCATATTTCTTTGTCCCAGTATTTTGTATGGCAAGAAAGCACTCCTATTTGCCAGTTAGTTACCTTAGCACACAGATGGCAAAACAGTCAACAAATATTACCTTCAAACATGGAGACTACTATCAGTAAATTCCTTCCTCCCTAGGTTCCTCAGGCTAGAACACCCCATCACCACTCAACACCATTATCTGGCAGCCAGATTAAGTGCCACGTACTGAATGGCAGTTACCTTCATGTTGTCCATGGATGATGTTCAGTGTTCCATCAGGGGCACCAGAGTCCTGGAGCAACTTAGCAAGAAGCATAGTTGCTCCAGGGACTCGCTCTGATGGTTTCATTAGGAAGGTATTTCCACATACCATGGCCATGGGAAACATCCAAAGGGGGATCATGGCAGGAAAATTGAATGGAGCAATGCCTGCACACACCCCTAGAGGCAGACGGTAGGAATAAAGGTCCATGTCTTTGGTGATGGATGGCATGGTCTCTCCCAGCATGAGGGATGTCACACTACAGGCATGCTCAACCACCTCTGCAACAGAGAAGAAGCAGTCAGGCCAGCAGCTACCCACACTGTACACTACTTAGCTGTGTCGGGCCCTAGTAAGCCCTGAGGGCAGGGAGTGGCTCAGGCCAATGACAGAGGGAAGAAACCCTAACTTGACCTTCTCAGTGAAGGGGTTGTGCAAAACAAGATTCTCTAAGTGGGAAAAAGATAGTGAAATGTACATACCTACTGGAAGATCAGTTGAGTAAAACAAAGAATGAAGTAAACCAATTTCATAGATTGCTAAGAAGCATTTCCATTTTCCACATGTATTAAAAAAAGATACCATGGGATAACAAAATCAACATAGAGGAAGAAGCAATCCCTCATTATAGGATCTTTGCCTCCCATTTTCCTTCGCTCCTTTCCCAAAAGTCCCTGAAACTCTCCATGAGGGACTCCCAGCTTACGAAGGCCTCGAAATACATCTCCTTCAGCATCAGCTAGGGTCTTCCCTTGCTCCAGAGTGATTAACCTGGCAATTTCTTTCTAGAGAGAAAACACACAAATAGAAACCAATGCAAGGATTTACCTCCTTTTAGTTCTCAGACAGCCAAGGAAGGACAAAACTGAGGGAGAAGTAGTATGATAAAGAGAGCCATGGTTTATCTCTCTGGACTGCAGAGTGAGGGAGCGCAGCTAAAATGGCCTCTGTGCTGGAAAATGGCATCATTCAAATTTCTTACCAAGTTTTCTTTAATAAGTTGTTGATAGCGAAGCAGGACCTGCTGACGGCTTAATACTGAAGTGTCTGCCCATGTAGGAAAAGCGCGTTTGCAGGAAGCAACAGCTGCATCCATTTCAGCCTTGGTGGCCTGAGGGACCCGACCAATGACCTCGTTGGTGGCCTGATGGGAAAAAGCAGCACATCATCCGTTGCCCCTGCCCACCTTCTCCATTTTTCATCTATCCACAAAGGCAACTATGTGCTTCACGATAGACACCCAGGTCCCCACTTTCCTACCATGTTTCCAGAATTCTAGGCTAGTCAGTTTAAGCAGTTTTGCTTACTGGGTTGTGGATGTCAATCCATTTGTCACTTTTGGATTCAACAAATTTCCCATCAATGAAGAGCTTTACAGTTGGCTGAAAAAAAAGAACACATACACACAAAACTTTGTATTAATTGCTTTACTTCTCTCACTTTCACAAAGAGGAAGGAAATCAGGTTGATAATGAATCTACTGCTCTCTAGAAATGTTACCACTCAGAAAGCAATACACAATAGACTTGTTTACAGTATTTGTTAAGATTTGGAAGAGCCTCTCAATACTGTGATCTCTCTGGAAATTTCCAGCTAACCACACAGTGGAACTTCATGAGTAAATACGTCACTGTAAAGCTTATATTAAAAAAGCAGCAGATTCTGTGTTAACAAAGACTAGCCATTGTGACTTCTTGGCCCAGCTGATTTTCTGTCACATTACCATGATAATGTCTTACCTTTCTTATCAAAATATATGTTTTTTAAATATATCTTTACTGATTTCAGAGAAAGGAAAGGAGAGGGAGAGAGAGAGATAGAAACATCAATGATGAGAGAGTCATTGATGGCTGCCTCCAGCAAGACCCTGACTGGGTATTGAGCCTGCAACCTGGGCATGTGCCCTGACCGGGAATCGAACCCCGATCGCCTGGATCCTAGGTCAACGCTCAACTGCTGAGCCACACCTGGTCGGGCTCAAAATATTTTTAAAATGTTTATATTTGTGATTTTTTTTCTGAGAAGCTTACTTTCATTAAATTTTCAAAAGGGTCTGTGGACCAAAAAAGGTGAAGGACTACTAAGTTACAGCGTGTACAGGCTTCTATAAAGAAAGGAGTTTGAGCACCAGTCCTATTTATTAGATTTTAGGTATTGCAAATGGATGACAAGCACAAGGTCTATAAAAACAACTCTAAAGGTTTTGAAGAAGTACAAATTACCTGGAAGGGTCAACTAAACTTCTAGAAGCCATCCAATGCTTATATCTTTTAACACAGTAATCTTATTTTAGAAGAGAAATAATCCAAAAGAAAAAAAAAAACAACAAAAAAAAAACTATAAATGTTTGTAAAACAATATTGAAAAACTGAAGCAATCTCAATGTTATATGGGGAAAATATGAGTTAATTCAGGTTATATATACTGAATGGAATATAATGCAGCCACTAAAGTCCTAACTATGTATAAAGACCATCTTACAATACTGAAAATGCTTACAGCATAATAGACATAATATTAAATAAGAAAACCAAGATAGAAAGTTTCACATACACTCTGGTCACAATTACATAAAGAAGATAAATGGGAATACCCCAAAATTATACTGGATTCCTTCTCAGAAGTCAACCTTTCATGTCAAATAAACTCACCACTGAAGAAGAAGAGAAGGAGGATGCTGGATACCAAGTGGAGTTCACCTTGGAAGAAACCTGTGAGGTAAAAGAATGATTATTTTGACAAATGAGAGCAGAAAGTTATTAAAAACTTACTATATGCTTAATATTATACTAGTTATTGTGGATATATGAAAAAGGACTTGATGTTTGCTCTCAAAGGTCATATAATATTTAAAAAGAAAAGACATGAGACAGATACAGCAACTGAGAAAAAAAGAAACTGTAATGATGTGTCCTCAATTTCTGGCCAGTACTGATTAAAAAATATTTTTTGTCATCAGTCCATATTTTACTAACTTTTAGCCTAGAAAATGTAGTCACCATAAATCTAACAATATGAAAACACTTAGCATGGTATCCAATACAATAGGTGTTGAATATAAGACAGTATATAACCAAGTATCAAATATGAGTGTAATATGTGCATACAAATACTTGAACACAAATGTTTTAGCAGCTTTTGTAATATCTCAAAACTTAGAAACAACCCAAATGTCTACACTGGGTGGGTGAATAGGAAACTAATGTGGTATACCCATATATTGGACTATTACTCAGAAATAAAAAAAAAAAATGAACTGTTGATACATGCAACAACATGAATAATTATAGTAATTATATTGAGTAAAATAAGTCAGATATAAAAAGAGTATATACTGTATGACTCATTTATATAAAACTAAAAATGCAAACTAATCTGTAGTGTCAGAAAGCAGATCAGTGGTTGCCTAACAATGACGGGGGAGGTGGAGAGCAGAGAGTATGAGGGAAACTTTTTGGGGTCTGGATATAATCATTATCTTCATTGTGATGATGTTTTCACAGGTGTGTACAAATATTAAAACATATCAAATTGTAATCTTTAAATATATACAGTTCGTGCCAATTTTATTTCAATAAAACTATTTTAAAAAATGCCACATGTATCTTATAGGATATAATCAGAATACTGGAGGGGGATCAGTTACAATAAAATAAGTCTCCAAATAAATAGTTTGTATATAAGCTATGGAAGTTGATTTAAGAAATATTAAAGTCTAATCGAAGTGAACAATTTGAAATACTTGGGTGTAGAATATAAAAGGCTGCAATCTAATAATCTATTATCTTGTCCACGCTAACAGAGACCATGCTAACCAAAGGTTTAGAGCTGCATGAAGTGCAAGAATTTGTGCATCTGTAGCACTGTTCAGAGGAAAGGGTGCTGGTCCTTTGAAGCAGCAGACAAACCTTCCAAATGCCTAGTCTGCTTCCTCCTCCATTCCTCACAAAAGCTATTTCAAACCACCAACACTCTCCTGGAGCCCATTGTGTCTTATTTATAGCCATGTTCCCAATAACAACCTGGTACATAGTAGGTGTCCAATAAATATCTACTGAACAAAAGAAAGGTCCACTGGACCTGACTTCCCTCACCTCAGACTAGATTAGGTGTCCCTCTTTTTGTACTCCCATAGCAGTCAATACTTCTCCTATTAGGTTTATCTGTCTCTGTTGTAATTGCCTGGGTATTTGTTTGTTACCCAAAAGACTGTAAGTTCCATTAGGGTAGGTACTGTATCTCTCTTGTTCACCTGCTTTACAGAGTTACTGTGATCAAGACTGTACAGATATGAAAAATCATTGGTGATCATTAAATGCTGTTATTATTATTATAAATGCTTATTTGCTCTCACTCCTTACTATTTCAAAACTTATCAATTCCCCTAAAACTCCCAACTCTGCTACTTCCCCTCTTACTCTCAAGAGCTGACCTTGTTTTCCTATTTCAGAGGAAACAGAAACCATCAGATGAGAACTTCCTCAACCTCCTAGTAGCAAATCTATAAAACTGACCTGCAACTATATTCATCCTTCTTTCCTTCCCCCCTCTTATAATGGAGAAGGTTGCTAGCAGACTCTATGAGGACAAAGTGACTGGGAGACGGAGGTGCACAATCTGTATCTGTGGACTGACTTCAGTGGTGTCTGTCCTCCAATCTAAGGCTAAACCGTGTACCTGTGTTCTAGAGCCAACGTTTCCTGCTGCTTACTTTTTAAAAAAATTTCTTTTTAAAAAAAACTTTTTATTTATTTTCTTGGAGAGAAAGGGAGAGGGAGAGACAGAGAGAGAAACATCAATGTGAGAGTAAAATATCAGTCGGCTACCTCTTGCACGCCCCCTAACTGGGGATTGAGCCAGCAACCCAGGCATGTGCCCTGACAAGGAACTGAACCAGCAACCTTTTGGTGCACAGGCTGACGCCCAACGAACTGAGCCACACTGGCCAGGGCATGACTTAAAAGTTTTTAAGTCTCAATCTCAGTTCTAGGCTAAGTACCTGATTGTAGAGTTCATAAAAATACCCAAATTCCTCTATTTCTCATGTCATATTATGTAATAACATCTTGTTTAATTATTAAGTCTCTGTCTCCTTACAGCACTAGATGGTTGTGTCCTCAGGCCCTAGCACCATTCCTGGAACAGAGTAAGCACTCAGTACTATTTTGCAGAACAAAAAGAATGAATACTCACCAAGCAATCGTTTGATATTAATTTTGTTTCATGTATATTCTCTTATAGGGAAGAAAATGCATGGATCAGCCAACTTGAGCATTCTAGGCCACTCAGTTTTATTTTTTCACTTGCACACAACCTCCCTGCTGTCAAGAGGGCATAAAAGGCACTGCTGGTATAATGAAACATTATCACATAGTTTTTGATAGATTAGATCTCCTATCTTTTCTTCATTTCCCAAAAAACAATCATTAGCACTGCTGCTGAACTATCCTATGTCCAGTCACACCAAACTTCTTGCTCTCTAGATTTATTTTGTAAATAAATATCTCTTTATTTTGTACTTGCTATTTCTTTTACCAGGAAGTCCCTTCTCCCCTTGGCTAAAGGCCTGCTAGTCTTGCAAGACTCAAGCCCAAGCCGATCAATGTTTCTCTCATCGATGTTTCTCTCTCTCTATCTCTCTCCCTTCCTCTCTCTAAAAAAAAAAAAAAAAAAAAAAAAAAAAAAAAGACTCAAGCCCAGAGCCAACTGCTTTTGGGAGCTTTTCCTGAATTGCACAGGTTGAGTTTGAGGCTTTTTCCACATGTTCCTGCAGTACTCTGTGCACTCCTATTATTTAGCATTTATTGTTGCATTACAATAGGGAAGCTTTCAGTGAGTATTTTATTTACCTCTCCTTTCCCAAAGCCTGGGGAGAGTGCCTGACACAAAAAGAGATGACAAGACTTAAGTCCTGAGTTTAGTTACTAGTTGGAAACCTTGGATGGCTTTAGTCGTAAGTCTTAGGTAACTTACTTTGTTATATTCATTAATTCTAATCTTCACAAACAATCTTAAAACAAGAAATGGTGGAGCTGGGATAGAATCCAGGTATGATTGTGAAGCCTATGCTGTTTTTTTAAATCTTCACCTGAGGATGTGTTTTTATTGATTTTTTTTTTTTTTTTAGAGACAGAGGAAGGGAAAGAGAGAGAAGAGGAGGAGGAGGAGGAGAGAGAAACATTAATCTGAGAAACATCAATTGGTTGCCTCCTGCATGCATCCTGACCAGGGATCAAACCCACAACCTGGGTGTGTGCCCTGACTGGAATCGAAGCCAAAACCCTTTAGTGTACAGGAGGACACTCCAACCAACTGAGCCACCCGCCGAGGGCTGTGCTTTTTATACCGCATCACTGAGGCAAGTCACTGAGACTCTTTAAGACTGGTTTTCTGAATGGGAATCATAATACCACAGGAGCAGAAGTTCGAAATTTTACTAGCCACTATTTCAGAGATGATGTACTTTAAGTAACTGAAAACATGAACTCTCTCCTTTACACATCTTTTTGGTAATCCTCAAATTCATGACTGCTGGAATCTAGACTAGTCTTTATCAGTTTCATGTTACAGTAACTACTAGTTGGCTAAGGATTACTATTTCTGTTTTTTCCAATTCAACTTAGAAGTTTCTTCAAATTATTGAGAAAACAGTGTATTTCTAAAATAAAGTACACGGGGAGGGAGATTCTTCTTGATGTAAAAAACAAAATAGAGTACCCTCTTAAGGATCTCTTTTTAATGACTCATTATGATTGAGGGGAGGGAAAGGAGGCAAAAGGAAAAAGTCAGCTTCATTAAAAGATTTCAAGGATGCCCGGCTGGGCGTGGCTCAGCGGTTGAGCATCAGTCTAGGATCCAGGAGATCACAGTTCAATTCCTGTTCAGGGCACAGGCCTAGGTTGCAGGCTCAATTCCCAGCAGGGGGCGTGCAGGAGGCAGCTGATCAATGACAAATCTCTCATTATTGATGTTTCTCTCTCTCTCTCCCCCTCTTTCTGAAATCAATAAAGATATATTTAAAAAAAAAAAAAGATTTCAAGGAGAAATAGAAAACATAGGGTGGACACTTCACTTTCCTACTATTAAAAAAGGATACTGGAAAAACAACTGGGATCACAGCAAGAAATATACAACTGAAGCTAGATCATCTGACAAACCTTTCCAACCCATTCTCCACATTTTCCCATTAAATAGCATATTTAAACCTTTGCTGACTCTAAGAATCTTAAAAATGATTAAGTTTCTGCAGTAGAACTCACTAAAACCTGGTAAATACCAATATTATCTAGAAGTCCAACAATATAAAGAAATTCCCAGGCTGGAAGTAATGAGTAAGAGGGGCAATATTGTTATTTGCAGGTTGCAGAATGTTGTCGGCAGTAAAACTTGCCTCATATTCTAAGTCCTTGCTAAGCGGTGAACAGGGGAAAGGCTATAAAGAGGTGGAGGTCACAGGCCTCAGGCATGAGCTCTTGTAGCTCCACCACCTCTCCTTAGGCTGGCTTCCTAGAGGAACCCAACCCCAGCCCCCATGGGTAGTGTTGAGGGTATGTTGGCCCACTAAAAACTGACTTAGGGGCAGGAACTGGGAACTTACACTTCTTGTAGTGATGTTTAGTCCCTTGCATGTGCTTGGGACAAACTAGTAGCATAAATGTGTTCTTATTTACTGCCAACATGAGCACTGTAACTTTGCTGAGAGAAAGTTTAACAGTCTTGGCAAGCAAGGGGACGGCCCATGGCCCGTGGAAAAAACAAATAGCCATAGTTGGGGAAAATAGCTTAGCAAACGGCTGCTTTGGGGGGAAACCTAGTGTACACTTCGAGAAAGAGATTCAAAGTTCATTCACTGACCCTCGGCCCTCGTGTGTCTCCTCTTCCCCACCCCCTGGCTCGGATTATAGACAGTGATATAGAGTGGGGGAAGGGTGCAATCTGGAAGCTCCTGGCAGGCGAAAAAGCTCTTAAAAAAGGTGACCAGAGGGGAGTTTCTGGGGAGAGAGGTGGCAGGTGCAGAGGTGAAAGGGAAAGAATGTGGGAGGTCCGAGGAGAGGTGAGGGCAGTAACGAGGCAGGGCTAGAGGAGGTGTGTGGGCCATAGCCACACCTGGGGAGGCTCAAAAGCGAAAGGGTGGGAGGGGCAGGGGTGACTGTCCCGGGCTGGATGCGACGGGGGCGGATACCGAGTGAGAGGGGTGGGACAGGGCCGGACAGGTCTTGTGGGAACAGCAGGGTAGGCCCAGAAGGGGTTGACTCACAGAGCGGACGGAATAGGACCCAATTCCTAGCTTCGCGACCCCACGGCGCCACCCTCACTCGCCTGCAGGATCCGAGCCCGCACTGCGGCCGCCGCCACTACCGCCGCCATGGTTCTCGGCAGCCTCTTCTCCGCCTCCCCGTGCCTCTACTCCCCGTGACTCCCTTGAAGAACTGCGCTGCCAGACTTCACCCCTCCATCCTGCCGCACCTCTTCATTGGTGGGAAGGATCATTCCTCTAGCCAATCACTCGCCCTAACTCCTGACTCCACCCCTCACTCCCCAGTTTTAGGGACAGGCGATTGGTCAGAAGTGAAAGAGCTCTCCGCTCTCCCACCTCAGCAAATTCTGTTGGCCGAGGTAGGGAAGACGCCCCTAACTTGGGTGCTCTATATTCAGCGGGCAGGAAAGACGCCCCCTAACCGGGAACCCCGATTGGCTACAGGGACGACTGCAGCCCCACCCCCTCACTGAAGAAAGTAAATAAAACCTTCCAAGAATTTTGGAGGCTCTCCACCTCATCCAGTGCGTGAGGGGGTGTGGCCAGCATTGGGGGCGGGGTTAGTCAAAGACTGCCCTATGTGGGGCAAACCAGATGGGACTAGGTAGGAGTTGGGGATAGGGTTTCTCTTTGGGGGCGTGGCTTGTGGGGCCTAGCTTTCCCGCCGACGGTTGGCCACGTCACGTGACATGGGTTGGAAGATGGCGTCTCCCACAGAGGGTAAGAGCCGGCTTAGAGATCCTTCGCCTGCTCCCCTGGCGACTTCCGCTCTCCGTCTGCCCGTCAAACTTGGGCTCCTCTCTTTTCCCTTCCACGTCTCTTCCTTGGGATGCGGGTGCCTCTTCAGCTCGCCGATTCTTCACAGATGCTCCGGAGATGCCCAGTTTCCCCGCTGTGTACCAGACGGGTGTAGGAGGGCACCCGCGGGAGACTCATCCCGGGCCCTGCCGCTCCCATAGCCTCAGCTTCCCTGAGGGCGGAGGAAGAGATACTGCTGGGGGAAAGGAGGTGCTTTATTGTAGTTTTCTTCTTCTGGGGCGCCCCATCGAAGGGTCGGTTCTCTTATCTTTGATCATCTGGAAGTGTTCTCTCCAACCCTAGCTGGGATTGGTGGTTGACCTTATCCCAGGACTGAACCGCAGGGGAAACAGATTCTCTTCTTTCTCCCCAGATTGGTTCGGTTGTCCTGGCAGCTAGAGAAGCGGGGGACCTTCCCGGCCCGTCGCCATGAGCTTCCCAAGGAAAATGAGAATTGAGCATTTTAGTGTAGTCTTGCACACGTCTCAACCTCCCTTGCTTCTACTGTATGTTTCCTCTGGCTGAGGGAATGAACGATATCTGCTTATATTGTCTAAGATGCAAGTTATCGCAGCAGCTAAGTCATTTTGGTATACCCCATGTGCTTTTGCGTTCGATTCTGCTTTAGAGAATTAGAGTCTTGCAGTCATTTCTGAACTCAATTTTTGCTTCTGCCCCGGTCCCCCACGTCCATTTCATTGATATGTAGTTTACCCTCCTCAAACCAACACATTTTGTGTTTGGAAGGAATCTTGGAAGTTCGTTTCAGGAATGAGGAAATTGAGGCCAAGAAAGCTACATTGACTGTATGAAAGGCATAAAGCTAGGTGCTTTGGAAGAGGTAAAGATTAATCAGACATGTAAACGCTTGCAGTTTCAGGTCTTATTTTAGATGTCACCTCCCAGAGAGGCTTTCCCAGAACATAGTATCTGGATTTGCCCCTCTTCACCATTGTTCACTATCTCAGTACCTTCATTGTCAGCATAGTTAGTCTTTTACCTTTGTCCCCTTCACACAGGATTATAAATTCTAAGTCTGTCTTGTTTATAGTTGAAAGAATGATTTGATACATACATAAATATTGTTAATATGGCTTAAGTTTCAAGTTAAACCGAGTCTTAAGTTTTTTTGAGTGCAGGTAAACTGTATAAAAAGTTATGAGTGTTCAGAGTCAAAAGAGATTCTCCTGCCTGGGTTCCCTCTGGTTAAAATGTCCTCTTGCCAGGGAAAAAAAGGGATGGGGAGATTTAAATAGTCAGCCAAGGGAATGGGGAGTTATTGTTCAATGGGTACAAAGTTTCAGTTTGGGAAGTTGAAAAAGTTCTGGACATGGATTGTGATGATGGTTGCTCATGATGATGGTTGCACGACTTTGTGAATGTACTTAATGTCACTGAACTGTATGCTTAAAATGTATATTTTACCACCCCCAAAAAAAGCCAAGTGATAGAAGCAGAAGTAATTTCTGTTAAAAATATTAGTTTATTATGAGGTTATTTTTAGATTTATAAGTTTTGGAGATTATAGAGCTGTGTTCCTTGTGTTTAATTTTTCCTTGTCTCTTCTCTCCATTTCTTTCCCTTTCTTTAGCCAGAAAGAAGAGTATTAGAAACATTATATATTTTTTCCTTTGATCTTCTAGCCATTTCCATTGTTATTCTTAGGACTCTTTATTTTTAAAAGTTTTCAGTCACATCTTTTACAAAGTTTCACTTCTCCACCTAATCTTTTTTTTTTTTTTTTT